TTGATCATTTGCCTGTTAGGTTCACTCCCTCTGGGGCACCTGGCATTGGCCACTGTGCTAGATGGACACTGGATACTGGTCTTTGGTCTGACCCGGTACGGCCTTTCTTACGTTCTTATATGACATGCTACTAAGAATCAGAGAAACTGGGGACTTCCTAGACAACCAGATTTGGGAAACACCCATACGGCAGATTCAAGGAAGAATGGAGCCTGGAATCAGTGAGAGAGGAAGTCAGAGAGGACTGGCATTTCATAACCACCAAAGGCAAGAGATCATGGTTGGAGACAGATGAGGCTAGACAGACTGTGGCCACCAGAGAGAAGAGAAGCAGGAGGAATTCTATATAGCTAGAAGTTTAAAATCAATACCAGGTCTTCAACATGGAAACTATGGAAGATACTTCTTAAGATCCAGCAGGTCCGAGGGAATGGAGAGATGTATGAGATGTGTGGATGGCAGCTTGGTCCAACCTGTGAGGAAAATCAAGCTTATCCACAAAGAGTTCTCCAACTGGCCAAGGAAGACAGACAGATCCTCGTTGGAGATTCAATACTCAGAAGAATTGAAAGAACATTCTTCAAGGGACAGACAGACAACAGGACAGTGTGCTGCATTCTCGGAGCCATGACACAAGTCACTCTGAGATTGGCTAGGCTTCTGGAGTCTACATGTAAGGATTCCTTGGTGATGGTTCATATCAGCACTAACGACACTGTCAGGGGATATCTCGCAGATAATAGCTGACTTTAGGGAACTTGGAAGTGTGCTGAAGAAGAAGAATATCCAAGCAATCTTCTCTGAGATCCTTCCTGTCCCATGAACAAAGGGAAACAGAAAGCAGAAGATTCTGTAAGTGACTCACTAGCTAGGTAAGTGGTGTATGATGGAGGGTTTTGGTTTTGTGGAACATTGGTCCACGTTCTGTGGGGAGAGGAGGCCTCCACCTCAGTAGAAGGAGAATCAGTATCTTTGGGGACAGGCTGGAGGCAGTTAAAATAATAGCAAAAGACAGGGTAAAAAGAGAGAAGATAGGAGCACTCAGAACACAATTGAGAAGCTGAGAACAAAATTGATCAAGGAATCAAAGGGCATGAAGAGAAAAAAATCTTTATCTATACACCAATGCTAGGAGCCTGGGTAACAAACAAGAAGAATTGGGTTTGCTCATTTATGAGCATTAATTTGATCTAGTTGGTATTACTGAAACCTGGTAGGATGATTCGCACTACTGGAATGTTAAAAGCAATGGTTATAATCTATTTAGGAAGGATCAATTGGGGGAAAAGGAGAGGGGGAGTGGCACTCTACATCAAAAATGGCATTACCAGTTTCTGAGTCAATGATAACTCAGAAGAAAATGATCTTGAATGCTTATGCATCAGTATCCTAACAGCACAAGGTGGGGTACTAATTGGTGTCGGCTACAGACCACCAAATCACACTAGGGAAAAGGATGAACCTACTTACGCACCTATCTGTAATGTGTAGAGGAAAAAAACCTGTGTGCTCATGGGAGACTTCACTTAGAGTGACATATGCTAGAGGGAACATGATGCCAGTACTAAAATATTCTTGTAACTTCTAAACATTAGATGGCCATTTCTTAACTCAAACTGTTGCAGCCAATACAGGGGAAATTCTATATTGGATCTTGTCCTAACAGATAAAGGAACTGATCACAGAACTAAAAGTTAATGGTAGTTTAGGTACAAGTAATCATGACTTGATCATGTTAATAATGTGAAAGCAGAATAAAGTCCAGACCAGTAACATATACACACACAGATACTTGGTGCTTTAATAGGGCCAATCTCACAAAGATGAAAACAATTATGAGCCAAATCAGCTGGGAGGAAGAATTTAATCAGAAAAATTTTATTGAATTCGGAATCACTTAAGAACACCTTACTAGATGCCCAAAAAGCCACAATCCCACAAATGAGGAAGAAGACTGTGTTGGTTAAAAATACAACCTGGGGAAGTGAAAGCACCTATAAAAATAGTATATAACAAATGGAAGAAAGGATAAGTTGATAGTAATAAATATAAATCAAAGAAGTTATGAATTGTACAAAATTGATAAGGGAAGCCAAGGGACACAAGGAAAAATCTGTGTCCAGCAGAGTTTAAAAATATATATTAGGAACAAAAAGAATCCTGACAGTGGTATTGGTCCATTACTAAATGGAAGTGGTAGAATTTTCCAATAATAATGCAGAAAAGGCAGAATTGTTCAATAAATATTTCTAATCTGTATTTGAGGGGGAAAAAACAGATGATGCAGTCTCAGTCTCATGAATATCTCTGGAGGATGTAAAACAGAAGCTACTAAAATTAGACATTTTTAAATTAGCAGGTCTGATAACGTGCGCCCAAGAGTCTTAAAAAAACTGGCTAGAGGAGCTCACTGGACCATTAAGATTGATTTTTCAATAAGTCTTGGAGCACTGGGGAAGTTCCAGAAGACTGGAATAAAGCTAATGTGGCAATTTTTAAAAAGGGTAAACAGGATGATCTGGGTAATTATAGGCCTGTCAGCCTGACATCATTGCTAGGAAGATAATGGGGTGACTGATATGGGACTCAATTAACAAAGAACTAAAAGAAGGGAACTTAATGCAAATCAAAATAGGTTTATGGAAAATAGAGCCTGTCAAACTAACTTTATCTTTTTTGATGAGATTACAAGTTTGGTTGATAAAGGTAATAGTGCTGATGCTACAGACTTGGACTTCTATAAGGCATAGATTTGGTACTGCACGACATTTTGATTAAAAAAAACTAGAATGATATAAAAGTAACATGGCTCACATTAAATGGATTAAAAAGTGGCTAACTGAAAGATCTCAAAATGTAACTGTAAATGGGGAATTGTCATTGAGCAACTTTATTTCCAGGGAGGTCCCACTGGGATCAGTTCTTGGCCCTATGTTATTTAACATTTTTATCAATGACCTAATAGAAAATAAATTCATCCCTGTTAAAGTCTGCACACAAAAATTGGGAGAGTGGTAAATATGAAGAGGACAGGTCACTGATTCAGAGTGATCTAGATTGTTTGGTAAACTGGGGTCAAGCGAATAATACATGTTTTAATACAGCCAAATGTAAATGTACATATTTGGGAACAAAGATGTAAGTCATTCTTACACGATGGGGGACTCTACCCTGGGAAGCAATGGCTCTGAAAAAGATTTGGGGATCATGGTGGATAATCAGCTGAATATCAGCTCCCAGTGTGAAGCTATGGGCCAATAGATTTAATGTGATCCTGAGATGCATAAACAGGAGAATCTCAAATAGGAGTAGAGGTTACTTTACCTCTGTATTTGGCACTGGTATGACAGCTGCTGGAATATTGTGTCCAGTTCTGGCGTCCGCAATTCAAGGAGGAGGATGAATTGGAGAGGGTTCAGAGAAGAGCCACGAGAATGATTAAAGGATTAAAAAACCTGCCTTGTAGTGGCAGATTCAAGGAGTTAAATCTATTTAGCTTAATAAACAGAAGGTTAAGGAGTGACTTGATTACAGTTTACAAGTATCTACCTGGGGAACAAATATTCAATAATGGGCTCTAGCAGAAAAAGGTGTCACATGATCCAAGCTTTTGAAGTTAAAGCTAGACAATTTCAGACTGAAAATAAGGTGTAAATTTTTAATGGTGAGAGTGATTGACCTTTGGAATAATTTGCCAAATGTCGTGGTATAGTCTCCACTAACAAATTTTTTTTTAAAATCCAAACTGGATATTTTTCCAAAAGATATGCTCTAGCAATTATTTGGAGGAAGTTCCATAGTCTGTATTATACAGAAAGTCAGACTACATGATCCCAATGGTCCCTTCTGCCCTTAGAATGTGTGAATGTATAAATTGGTGGGAGCAGTTTGTGGAGGTTTTGAAGAGGAAGGCCAACAGGATTAAGAAGAAACATTTCAAAACATTTCCTTTCCATGGCACGGGAGTCAGAATTTGCCCAAAACATCAATGATGGAAAAAATAATGTTATTGTAAGAGTTGTAGATGAGGATAACATTTAAAATGAATTTTTATCTAGTTCACACAATGGTATTGTGTATGGCATGCGTGCGTAGTCCCAGTCACAAAGTGGGTGGCCAGATTCTTGTCTGGTTTATATAGCAGTTTGGCAGAGCGCTGGTCAGGGATTTTGGTTGGCTCTAATTGAAAAACTTGAGGTCAGCATCAGTGGCAGGATTATAGCTTGGGGAAACACCATCAGTATAGTGCTGCATGACTGTTAAGATCTGTAGAGTAATTTCTCAGATATCTATCAAGGACTTCTAAAAAAAAATAGTTTACTGGCCTCCAATTTCTATCACCTATCGCCACATTCACTATAATTATTGTCACAAAAAGTTAGTAATTTTATTACAAGTGAGTGTATGCCAATCTACTGCAAATAAACAGTCTTTGTTAGAAAAATTGACAAACCTACTGTTTCCACTTCTGCACAAATTGAATTCAATTTGGTCATTATTACATACTTTTTGGCTACAGGCTCAAAATTGGTTTTCCACAAATTTTCATACAGTTTCTTATATGAATATTAACGAAAAGCTACTACATGGGAAAATGAAGTATGGTTTCTAGTTTCCCAAAAAGTTTGTGAATAGTTTTGTGCACATTAAGAAAAGTAGTTTATTTTCATAAAGGGAAATGCCTTACACCAGTTCCCTCTCAATTCAAGTCCATAATTTTCATAGAAACTTCTTGGGAATGTGTGAGAGAAAAATAAGTGCTGTGGCATACAAAGAGTATTGGTACAGAAGTACCTGATAAAAGCAATACAGCATTATAATGAGAAGTGTGTAAAGAATTTCTTTTGATTTACTAGACAGATGAATGATATTACAAGAGGAGAAGATGGAGAACCCATTTCAATAGCATAGATACTTTGGTGCCTAAATATTTCAGTGACTGGTACTACGTAAATAGGTAGCATACATTGAGAGAAAATTAGTGAGGTTGTTAATTTTACCAGAATAATGACATAGTGCATTCCATCTTTTTTCAGCTGTTGAATGTACTCTGGCAGACCTGCATAATTTTCTTTATCATAGGTGAAGTCCAAATTACGCTCCATGTAGTCGATATCGCCATACTGGACATCCTGACAGTTTTGAACATGAAATTATTTTAGTATGTTGTTAGCTAAATCAGAATTTATGCAACTTTATTTAAGAATCCTCAAAAAGTAATTAATCTGCCATCAAATGTAATTTAAAATATTGGATATAGCAAAAGAAGATTTCTGATTAACTTTAAGAATCAGAAGGCTAAATTCTGCTCTAACATTTTCCGCAGTAAATCCAATGTATAGCTCCACTGAGTTCATCACAGATACTCCAGATTGACCGCTATGTAACTGAGAGCAGAATTGGTTTAGAGGCTTTAAAAACATCATTTAAAATTGTGAACTCCAGGGATACTATTTGCAAAATCATGACACAGAATTATGAATACTCTCGTACTGTACAATTCACAGGGTAATTGTTCTCTTCTATTATTATTTTACTCATTTCATTTTGAGAAGGTAATTAAATAATTAAAATGCACTTTGCAAAAGTCATACTTACATATGGAATACCATACTGCCGCATGCGATCAACTGTTTTCTTTACCACATCGAGGCTGCCATACCCATAACGGGACAGCTGAAATCCCAGCGACCAATAGGAAGGAAAATGTGGGCGCCCAATGGCCTAAAACAGGAATTAATACATTCTAAGAGACAAACAGAAAACTCTGGAATAAGAAGAATACATGTTTATCAGCATATGCTCATTAAAAACATGGAAAATGAATGGCTTACAATCTTTGTTGTGCTATTTTACTCACCTAGCAAAGAAAACACATGCTGTAAAATTCTGCAATTTATTTATTTCCCTTCATTTTTCCAAGAATGATATAGCAACAAATATTGGGGGAGATTATATACACCTGCTCCACTGGTGCATAAGGGCATTTTTGTATGGGGGATGGTACTCACTAATCCTCCAATCCTATTTGAGCCCCTGTGCAGCCCCTTACTCGCTGGAGACTAGAGGGGATCCATCCAAACTGTTTTCAATCTCAACAAAAATGCCCCCCTCTCCCTGTGAAATTGTTTTGATCATAATTTTTCATTATACAATAAACATTTCAATGGGGGTGGTGATGGAGAATGTTCTGTTTCAATGGGAAATAAAATCACTCACCCATTTTTTACTTTTTTCACTGGAAATAGATGAGAAAATGGGGGGATGTCACTGAAACTAAATTTTTTCATATAAAAAAAAACCAATTTCACAGAACAATAGGAACAAACCAAAAAAACAGTTAGTTTCTTTCTACTTTTAAAATATATATACTTACCTTTTTTCAAGCAGCTCTCCTGTAGACCCCTGCTGACCTCCCCACACAGAAACACAAAGCTCTAAACACCACAGAACTACTGTTCTACAACCATGACAGGGAGCTAGGGGAGCAGGTAGCACAGAGGATCTCTGCAAGGAGGAATGTCGTGGCATGGCAGGTCCAGTGTAGAGGAGCAGAGCCAGGGAAAAGTGTCCAGAGAGCAGCTACCACATGGACACACAAATCTAATCTCTCCCAGCTGCCACTAAAGGCCTTCAAGCTCTAGTGTTTGCAGCGGAGTGGCTATGCGGCTGTTCTGCTCCAAGACGTGCATGAGTGGCGGTGTCACAGCCCGTAATGTTCTCTTCACATAGCCCATTTACTTAGGCTTTTTTCAGGGGTGGGGGTGGAGGGGGGAAATCAGCATTTGGTCTCATTTGAAGATAAGCTTAAGTTTGCAGAATAATGAAAACAATGTCACTACCAAGCATTTTGGCAGAAACATCTAGCTACTCCAGTACTGTGGGCAGAGTTCGGGGATGTAGGCTGAAGACACCTCCACATCTGGTTAATTTAATATTTATTTATTTATTTATTTTTAAATTTAAATGAAGTCATACACAAAGCCAGCCTATGTAAAGGAATGTTCTCATTACCACTAATGTTTCCCTTCTAAAGTACGTTGCACACATTGTGCCTTGTTTTAAGTTACACTGAAAGCTCTTCTTATCAGGGACTGTCTTTACCTATATGTTTGAACACCACCCAGCATAATGAACCCCCGTCCTGAATGGGACCTTTGAGAGAGAATAATTAGAAGACTAATAGCTTAACGACTTGTCTTCATTACCATGTTACATCGGTGCAGCTGTGCCGATGTAGTGTGTCTGGAGAAGATGCCGACAGGAGAGCGCTCGCCCACCAGCATAATTACTCCTCCTCAGGAAGAGGTGGAAGCTACGTCAGCAGGAGAGTGACTCCTGCCGACATAGCGCGATGTGGACATTGCTTTAAGTTGATCTAACTTACGTCACTCTAACTTACGTTGATCTAACTTACGTTACGGAATGGCTTTTTCACACCCCTGAGTGACGTAAGTTACATCGATTTAAGCAGTAGTGTAGAAAAGCCCTACGTGTACTATTACATAGTGGTTCAATACAATCCCTGGGTTTTGCACATTCATTGCCAATTATCAAACCTGTTGCTGAGTAAAAGGCAAATTTTTAATTACTATAGCAATGTGACCATGCGAACCAGAATTAGATTGTTTCTCCTACCACATCCTGCTAAACTAGCTCATCAAAAGGTTGGCATTTATTCTGAGCTCTCTGAAATTTCAATCATTTGTACACGCCACCTGGGTCAGACTCTCCTTTGAAATTCAGTTACCGACAATTGACTATTTACAGGGTTGAGTCACAATGTTGAATTGCCAGGCATCTGCAAATCTCAAAGATCAGTTATCATTCAGTTCCTAAAAATCATCACTTGAAACAAAAGGTAACAAATTAAGAATGACTTTTCAGTTATTTGATTCCCCCCCCCCCATATAATAGAATAAATTATAATCCAGTTTAAAAAATGATGAGGAAATTGGATACAAAAATTCTCAAGCAACATGGGATGAAGTGTCAATTTCTGTGTCTGTATATAGGTTGCTCTTGCTTTTTAAAACTAATGCATAGCAATGATGGTGTTTGGGTTCCAGAAAGAAGCCAAAAGTTTGGGACATGCACACTGTTCTTTTCTGTAGGCCAAATCCTAAAATCTTTACTTCACTTTTACAGGATTTGGCTCCATGAGATTAACCTCCATACACTTTCGCTATCCCAGTCAAATTCCAAACCATCCTTGCTGGAAAGGTAATTTTGCTCTACAAAAATAGAAAATGTACTGGGTCCTTATGACTATCAGTTAACCAAGCCTTTGATACTCTAGTATTGATGTAGCCAGTGCCCCTCAGATCTTCATGGTTCTCTAATTATGCACAACAGGAGAAGTGAGAAGGAACAACACTTGAGCATTGGTGACAGAAAATACCAACATGGAATACATTGAGAGACTGCATATATTCCTTATGTAGTGGAACCTCACCACTGTTAATATGTTATCTCATCTTTGCTATGCATAAAGATTAAACATTTCTTCATAAGTGATCTTCTCAACGGGGAGAATGACACGAGAAAGCAATGTTTGAAACTGAAGTTGCCCTAATATAGATACCATAGTCTAGTGAGTCAATTAAATACAAAGAGCCAGAATGAAGCAGTATGTATAAGCCACAGCTGAATAGAGGGGTTGTTTTAGATGGACAGTTCCTGAGGTACTCTCTTCCTGCAGAAAACCAAGGCTGAGAGAATGCCTGTGAGCTCACTGGGGGAGCACACAGAGGACAGGTAACTGCTATGGCTTTTAATTGTGCAGCATGTGGCCAGCCAGGCAAAAGGGCCACCTCTAGCACTGAGAATCAGGATTCTGACTACCCACTGAACAGGCATGCAAGGTGGGAGGGACAATTCCTTACACTCCTTCTTCCCTTGGGCACTCATTTCAGAATGGCCAGATTCTGGCCCAAAGCAAATTGCACAGTCTCTTTGGCCCCAGCCCTTGCTAGGCTGTGTGACTCCTACCTGCCCTTGCTTATTTGTTTAGTTTCAGCTGTTCTCAGTTAGGTAACTATTCTCTTTAGCCTGTAAACGTCAGGTTTATTCTAAGACAAGGCTGTATGTTTCCACAGCATCCCTTGGGGAATTTGGGATTAGAGCTGAGTGATTTTGAAAAAAACCCACCTTGCAAGCAAGATTCACTTTTAAAACAATTAGTTCTCCAGGTTGACTAGGCTGGAACATGAGGTGAGCTTTATTCAAATTAACAGAACATTCTAAAAGGAGGGATAAAAATAGGGCAACTAGAAAAACAAATTTCTTCTAATTATGCTGTGGACTCTCTCTCTAATGGATCTCCCTGATAAAGCAACTGACATATGACATCTAGTACAGATGGAGCAGAAGCAGAGATGTAATTTTGCAGCCCTGGATTTTGTGATAGTTTTGAGATATATGTAGGATACACTATACTTGATTAAACTGTATCTTGCATTCAGAGGATCATAAATTGCTTTACATAAAAACTAAACGTTTTAGAAAACTGCATACAGTGACTGTCCTAGAAACAGAAAGGGGAAATGATGCATGAGGAGGGAAATAAAGGAAAGAAAATATCAGAAATTTAGAAGCTGTAAAGAGACAGGGTAGTTAGAGGGGAAATCGAATGGAAGGCTGCCAAGACTGGGAAAGTGGAAAAGTGAGTTCTCATTGTCCCTATTACAGTTCCTCTGAAACACAGTCCATAATAGTTAAGAGCAGGTAGGAACAATGATCCCTAGGGATGTTACAGTAATATCACTGTGAGTTTTCCAAGTCTGACAAAAACTGGCGTAATGTAGCGATTTCACTACTGCTAGATGTACCTCAGATTTGGGTGAATACAGAAAATAGCCTCTGTTGAAACAAAGAGGTTCCTTGGGAGTATGTATGTCTACTGGTTAGGACTTGTGGCCTGAAATCAGGACTCCTGGGTTCCATTCCTGTTTACACCACTGACTCATTCTATGTCCCTGAGCAAATTTTATACACATAGTATCTCAACATGAGAATCAAATTACTTTATAAACATTTATAAACAAACAGTGTCCCCTTTTACAACTCAGGAAACTGATGCAGAGAGAGAAAATGGATGAACTCAAAAGAGCTAAGCATGCTGTTACATAAGGATTATAATTGGAGTTACTGGGTGCCCTGCCAGATGCACATGCACAAATCAGGCATTGAATTCTCTGCGTGCTTTCTGTCTAATAATCACTCCCTACCCCAACAGTTTTCTGTGGTGCTCACTGTCTCTCATTTGGTTTCTCACTGCTACACTTTTAAGGAAAACAACAGTCTCCTCCCTGAGAATGAACGTTCGTTGGGTAACTCCCTTCAATTTTAGTGGCAGTTGTGTGGCTCAGGCCTTGTGCAGTTCTTTTAAATTGTAGAGTTTAGTGTTGTTTTCTGAGCTCATCCTCTAACTTCTCTCATTTTTAGCATCCTCAGAGGGCTACCCCCTAAAGGGCTGTTGCACTGTTGTAATTACATAGATGTACCACAGAAGATTGCTCTGGAACTCTCAAACTCTAATTAGCCATATAAAATTACTCTTGATACCTGATATTTGCCTGAATTTCTTTTTTAGTAAAGATCTGTAGGAGGTAACTATAAAAATCTGAGTGGGATAAATGTTCTTGATTTAGAAACAGCAGTTAATGGCCTTGGTTAGTCACAGAGCGGCTAAATTACATGGAAGTTTCACCAGCTTCCACAGT